TTTTGACATTTACGTTGACTCATTGTATCAAACTGATCAATTCATTGATTTTGCAGTTTGGAAAATAAAACTTATTGCATCATTGAATTCCCTTTCAAGTTTATAATGTTGAAGTTTTCAATCAACTGTTTTAATTGTAATTAATAATTTAATTAATGCCATATATCACAGTCATTGTTTTTTTAGTACATTGTTTTTGTCATTATACCATTATACTGTACATTAAACATTATTGCAATATTAGATACTGATTATTTGTTGAAAGGGTTGACTCAGAATTTTAATGCAGAGTAGGCCCATTTGTAAGTTGTATGTGATGGAACCTTTGAATATATTATAATTACAACCTACATGCATCCTTCATTTCCAAAATACACTTATGTAATACATTAATTAAACAATTCCATTTACTTTAAAAGTAGAATCAATTTTGCATAAATATAATTAAATTCATTGTTCCCCACCAAAGGAAAGTCTTTAATGCCCAATGGAAAGATATTCATTGTATCTTTGTTTGTCCAGCTTGGACCAGTTTTGTATTTCAAACGTAGAATACAAAACTGCTCCCCCAAGCTGGACAAAAAAAATAAACATTATTTTTTTATAGAAAAGATTAAAAAGATCCAATAGATCTTATTAAAACCATCAGAGTTATGCTGAAAACATATGCTATCATCGTATGATCTGTAAAATAAAGCCTTCTGATTGGTCAGTTCCTGTGCTCTGCCAATCTGTATTGCTACTGAGATTGTCCCCATTGATCATCTCCGTCGCAATACAGAAAATATTGGTACGGAGGGAACAATCTCAGTAGCAATACAGAGGATAACACGATAAAAATGTTATTGAATGATTTGAAGTGCAATGCAGGATATATTCTGTCTCGATATTCTGTATTGGCACTTGACTTCGTCTCCTTCCAATACTGAATTTCTCAAGCAGAATATATCCTTTATTGCACTTCAAATCATTCAATAACTTACATCATCGTATGATCTGTAAAATGAAGCCCTCTAATTGGTCAGTTCTTGTGCTGTACCTATCTGTATTGCTACTGAGATTGTCCCCATTGATCATCTCCGTCGCAATACATAAAATATTGGTAACAAAGGGACAATCTCAATAGCAATACAGAGGACCATACGATAAAAACGTTATCGAATGATTTGAAGTGCAATACAGGATATATTCTGTCTCGATATCCTGTATTGGCACTCGACTCCGTCTCTTGCCAAAACAGAATTTCTCGAGCAGAATATCTACTGTATTGGACTCAATAACTTATAATATTATCATTTCATTATATCGTGCCATCAAAAGAAATGGTACATTTTAGAGTGTGATACTCTGGTGCCGTTTTCAATAGATCTTACTCTTAGTGTTATTGGACTTCAAAGAGAAGTGAAGGTTATCGGCAAATAATATACCCATTGCATGGGATAGGTTATTTTCTTTGGTATGACAAAATATTTGAGCTAAAAAATAATTTGTGAAGTTTTCTAAATGTTTTTTTTAATGAAAAATAGCATGCTCCCCTAAGCTGGACAAATCTTTGACCACCTGTGACTAACCATACCAACCATATTTCATGACTACCAGCCTGATATAGTCACAATGTTACATGACTTTAAATATCAAGTAGTTATTTCCTAAAATGACAGGGTTGCAGCTTTTTTTTGACCACCCTGTACAGCAATATTACTTAATATTATTATATTACTTAAATAATATTATAGTTTTTTTCTTTTGTTTAATTCCAGGTGATGTTTGAGACCAAAAAACAGGCGAGCGGTTTATGTTGGCTATTTCCAAAGCAACAACATGTATGCATGTCAATACAAGGATTGCCATTGCGCATGTTCATTTGTTGCACAATACAACACAGAAAAAGCAAGCAAGATCAAAGATCATTAATTGAGCCATTAGAGCCAAATACGACACCAATCTCGAAAAAGAAGCTTTAGCTTTAAGATGAAATTGGGGAAGATAGCATCTCTCTATATAGGAATGAACACTCTCACTGTTGAGTCAAAGCCAGTGATATGGTGGGATCAATTTATGTGGCAAACGTCAAAGCCATTGTAAATTCCTTGAAGATGAATCTGACAAAATGCGAAGATAAACTTGATGAATATGACCCTAATTTACTTCAGAATTTTTTTAGAAATCGTTAAATTAGAACTTGGGCTAGTATAATGATGAAGCTAATAAATTATAATGTATTATGAAAGAACTAGAGTATTACTCATATTTACATGCCTAACCATCGACAATGTACAGTGACAAAATATACCGTTGCACACTTTATATTGTACAGTGTCACTAAAAACTGATGATGCAGGTGTGATGTAGGTTTTCAAAAATTAATTTTGGGAATACTTGAAAGATTTCAATTTCATCTTTAATTTTATATGCATTCGACTTTTAGCTTTCTGATTACATTAAAAGATTTAAAAGCAATGCTTGATTTTTTCGTAGTTAGTCTACCAACAAAAATTGATCGGTTGGAAAATGTTGGGTTTTTCACATTTCCTTTGATTATTTTTTCTCATGTTGCCTAAGAGTGTCATTTATTTTTATGAGAATATATTTCTCTAAACTACACAATTTGAGTGAAGATTTGATAAATATTATGTATTGGGTGTAATTTTAAAAAATCAGAAGAGTAGTTGTCAACTCCACTGAAGGGTGTCAATGTAAATGAAATTCACGAGATGTTATATTGAACAATGCAATAATTAAACAAGTTATGTTTAAGGAACATGTTCAATTATCCCCAATACAGATGTTCTAAAGTTAAGGTAAATTTGATTTTTAAATCTTGTTGGATGTCATTTCATTTTATAAAAGTGTTGGTGTGATGATTAATATGTGACCATGGGGTGTTAGCCTCTTACCCCTTGATCACTTGACATCTGTACTTTAACGTAATAAGAAACACTTTTATGAATTTTAATTATCTTAAGAAGTTGATAGAGAGATTTATACTAGCTAGTCGAAGATGACTTTTTAAAATCCTCTTTATGCAATATCTGGAAAGTGTTGAGGTTCAATACTATGGTTCAATCAAGTTTAAGTAATACTGTGATTGTTAAGTTTCAGTTTTAAATTAATCTGATCCCCCTGCCCATTAGCGTTATTAAAAATATGTGTCAGGGTTAACTGTGAATTCAGATATGTAAGTTCGTTGGGACGACGTACATCAAGATGACAAGGCACATTTGTATTTTTTTGATTTTTATTATTTTAACCAAAACATGAATATTTATTAAATTTTCAACCGACCTTAATTGTGTAACTTAGGGAAACATATTCTCATAAAAATAATTGACACTCTTAGGCGACAGGGGGAAAAATGATCAAAGCAAATGTGAAAAACCCAACATTTTCCAACCGATCATTGTTTGTGGTTAGATTTACTATGAAAAAAATCGAGCACTGCTCGAAAATCTTTTAACGTAATCAGAAAGCTAATGGTTTTCCTAATCGAATACACACAAAATTAAACATGAAATTTTTTATGCATTCCTCAGATAAATTTTTAAAACCTACATCACACCTACATCATATCTTTTGCTTCATATCAGTTAGAATAGTGACACTGCACATCAAAAGTGTACGGGGGTATATTTTGTCACTGTACGTTGTCGATGATCAGGTGTGATTTAGAATAAAAAAGTTAAAATGGTAAATCTTCTGCCTGCTGTACCATCAGTTACAGTATCTTCTAATGAAGTATTTTCTGTAATGTTAAAGATTACTTGATCTGTACGTGATGAACTACTTTTTAAAAATATCTTGTCATAAAATGTAAAATTGTACTTATATAGAATTGCAAATAAAACATTATATAAGACATGTTAATTGCAATCCGATGAAAATTTCTGTTGCCAAACTTATGGATTGAAGCGAAATTGCTTTTAACACACAAATGTTGACTTAATGAATTTGAATTCAAACATCAATTTCGATTAAAAAACAGAAGTGAAAACAATAATTTCTGAATCCTTACCTGTAATGTCAGTTTACTAGAATGTCTGAATTCAGGCACCTTATTTCAGTTTTATAGATTGTTGTCTGAATTCATGCACCTCATCCAAGGTTAGCAAGTTGTCTGAATTCAGACACTATATTTCAGTTTTATAGATTGTTGTCTGAATTCAGGCACCTCATCCAAGCTTAGCAAGTTGTCTGAATTCAGACACTATATTTCAGTTTTATAGATTGTTGTCTGAATTCAGGCACCTCATCCAAGCTTAGCAAATTGTCTGAATTCAGACACCATATTTCAGTTTTATAGATTGTTGTCTGAATTCAGGCACCTCATCCAAGCTTAGCAAAGTGTCTGAATTCAGACACCATATTTCAGTTTTATGGAATGTTGTCTGAATTCAGGCACCTCATCCAAGCTTAGCGAGTTGTCTGAATTCAGACACCTTATTTCAGTTTTATAGGACGTTGTCTGAATTCAGGCACCTCATCCAAGCTTAGCAAAGTGTCTGAATTCAGACACCTTATTTTAGTTTAAGAGAATCTTGTCTGAATTCATGCACCAAAATCTCAGATATAAGTCTTTTTTTAAATTAAAAATGTGTGGGCATGTCTGAATTCAGACACATATTTTCCCATACTAAGAGTTGCATAGAGTAAAACATCTGCCTGAATTCAGATACTTCATATATCTACACAAAAAGCTTGTAAATATGTTGCTGATGTCTGTACATGGCATAGATATACAGTACCTAGAAATATATATCTTTATTTTTATACTTTGCTGGTTGTTTATAATCTTTTCTCATACAAAAAACTTCTCCAACACCTAAAGAATACATTAATTGTCAAATATATTTCTTAATTTATATTATTAATTCAAACTTTTGTCACCTATGGAATTGCCAAACTACACTGGAACCTGTTTTATGTTATGTCTCACATTTGAAATGTCTACAAATGTCTTGCCTCATCTCTGAACTGTTCACAAATGTATCTTATTAGCTTACCTTTGAGCTGTTTACAAATGTATGGCCTCCTATCACTGCAGCGTTTATCATTCCAGGCACCTAATCTGGTCATTTCCCCACAGTGTTCATCTCCCACACCTCCCCCATCTGGTTGCCCTTCTGCCCAAGCAACATCACTGAAAATGGGTGTGAAATAAGCACTGGTCCAGTGGTCCTGACCCATTTCTTTGGACCAGCACAAATGTTCAGTATTTGTATATGGGGATCAGCTCCCTGAATTTCAAATAAGATAATGACTCACGCAATGTGTTGCTGCCATACAGCGCCATCTATCCAATAGTAGTTCCCATCACCTTTCGGAAGGTCAGTCATGCCAAGCCAGAAGTTATGCTGGTTAATAAATGCAATCTCCATTCCTATCACACTCTGAAATTAAATGAGGAAGTTTTCTTGATTTTTTATGTCTCATATTTTTATTCATCTTCATTCACTCTGCTCCAATTGGTAACAGGGAAGACCAGGCATGCAAAGATGGTGTTTATTAGAGTTTGGAAAATTGTTAAGTTGAAGGCATAGATGAGATATCATCTTTAAAGGAACATTCCTTGCCAAACCTTTTCTATCCTGATGTGATAGCTATAATCATATATATACTTTCCATATTTAGCAAAACACCAGGAAATGTTTAATATAGTCAATATTGATAATTTAAAAATGTAGTGCTCATTTCCCAGTAAGCTACCATCTTTTAGGATTTTACTCAGGAAGTGATGTCATCGACTCTCAACTTCCATGACCTTGCATATAACACTATAGGGAAGTAGCACAAAATCACTTCTAGACAAGTGGTTCTTACTTTAGTGCAAACATATTTTCAGAGTTTGTCAGCTTGGAATAATAGAAGAGACTTATAGAAGGATTAAATCGTAGACAAAATTAAAAAAGAATGCACAGCTGGTTTTTGTAATTCTTAATAGCCCCTTATAATGTTATATGCAAAGTTGAGAGTCGATGACATCACTTCCTGAGTGAAATACTAAAAGATGGCAGCCTACTTGAATTCTGCACTACATTTTCAAGTGATCAATATTGACTATATTAAAACATTTTTCCCTGTTTTGCTAAATATGGAAAGTATATATATGGTTATAGCTACCATATTAGGAGAGAAATGGTCTGGCCAGGAATGTTCCTTTAAACCCAGAATATGTTGTGACTTTATTGTTGGTGCAAAGGATTATATCCTCTTTTGCTTACCAGTTCATCCAAAGATTCAATGCTAGCAAGGTTTGATGTGGGCCCATAGCTTTTACACATATCCAGAGCAGCCTGCCATTCTTGTCTGTCAGAGCTGAACAAGTAACAGTATCTAGAATTTGCAGCAGGCTTCCAGCCACTTGGACATAAACCAACTGGAATATACAACAATAAATACTCATCATTAAGTAGCCTTACGTCTTCCAACAAATTCTACATAAATTGTTACAATAAAGATGTATCAACAAGGGCACTCGCACAGATCCAGGGGGGGCCTCAATTAGTGGGCCTTTTTGGGCATTACTTGGCTTATTTTGGGCCTTTTTAGGCCAAATTATCCAAAATTGGGCCTTAACAAAAGTTGGACCCAATTTTTTTATTTAGGAGCCCAAAATCTTTTTACGCACAACGCAGAATTCTTTTTATAATCAGAAATGTTGAAAAACACACAAAACACCACATGCAGCAAATATCATTGAATAACCTCACAATATACAGAAAATATAGGGCTAACACCTTTGTGAAATACTGACGATTCTCAGACATAATATTTTCTGTATTTTACTGAAATCATTGAATAACTAATATACCTGTAGTGGGGCCAGTGTATTGTGGTGTTGTGGAAGGGGCAAGTGTAGAGGGGCGCCACCTTAGTTTACACAGGGATGACATCTCATTGTCTTTATCACAATCCTCATCTCCCCATGTACCATCCTCATAGAAGTGGCCACAATGTTGGTCACCCCCGGAGGGTTCCCCTGAGTGGATATTATACCTAGGATGAAACAAGGCATTTGTTACAAACATGTATGATAGAAATTAAATGAATACCTCTGGAACTTAGCTCACATTGGTAGGTACAGTAGAACCTGTATAAGTGAACACTTTTAATACCTAAATATAGTGTTCCACTTTGGAGGTGTTTCACTTACAGAAGTTAATTCTAAATCAGCTATTTGGGTAAAGGGAATTTTAAAGTGTACAACTTAATGAGGAGTTCTACTGGGTTCTAGAGGTGTCCCACTTTACAGGTTATACTGTACTTTGAACAAAAAGTGACAGCAATTTAGGTATTTTACAGAAACCTCAAGAGAATACTGTAAACTTTGCAAGGCACTTTCATACATACTACATCTTTGCAATTTGTTACTTGCGCTGACTACTGACACTGGACACAAAAAAGTTAGCTATGACAATAAATCACCATTTCTTGGCAGTGACATAAAAATTTAGCTTCCCGTATAAAATTAAGCAAATCATGGCAATACATTAGGGACCAATCCAATAAATGAATCATAATGACAGAGTACAGAAATTTTTGAGTTCTATGATGTATTTAAATGTACATGTATTCCACTTGTATTCATCATCATCACTATCAATTGTGTCACTTATATTAAAAGATTGTATATATTGTGGCTTACTCTAATGCTGTGTTCCAGGCAGAGCCATCAATCCAATGCCATGGAGCAGGTTCATCTGTCAATCCTAGCCAAAACTTTTTCTTTCTTCTTTTCACATGACCTTTCAGAAAATTCTGAAATTCAGCATGAAATCTTGAATAATTTATGAATCTTTTTGCATAGTTTTATTTCATTATTCTGTATTTTATACATAAAATTTATGCCATTAAGCACATTCAAAATTTTCTTTTATACATCAATTTTTATACATTCCTATTATAGACCCCTTGGGGTGTCCTTGTCACAGGTATCTATCAAATGAAGAGATCTTCCAACAATGTTTTCTCAACAGGGAACTTAAATCCTAATTATCATTACCTTGCAATGCCAGTTCTCAGAGTATTTGGGAAAAATGTTATGGGTATTACCCATAGTGTTATCCATAATAATGGTAATTCATTAGGTCATTTATGGTTTATATGTACATAACCCATAGTGTTACCCATAGCGTTACCCATAACCAATAGTTATGATTAAAACTTGTTATAACAATGATATACTCATAATTTAACATAAGTAGATGTTATTGGCTAAGCATGTGTAGGTCATGGGCAGATTATGTGTCCCCATAACATACACATAAATTCCAAATAACCTACACATAACTTGCACATTACCAATACATAATGGAATAACGTAAAACCATTATTTACCCATAATTACCCATTATAAGTCATTACCAAAAAACTTAGGTTGGATACGGCATCAATTACCCTGACATTATGGGTACTTGGGGGCTATGGGTAACAATATGGGTAGTTATGTGAAACCTATGGGTTACCCATAACATTTTTCCTAAGTACGATCTAGTTAAGAAGGCTTATATTTTGCGATATTGTTTTGAGCAATAGATGGAGCCATAGTGCCAGGCCATAGTGGCGCAAGGCGAATAAAGAGTTTATACTTAATTTTCAATAGGTGTTGATAATACTAATAACCTCATTTCAGCACCGAAGACACTATTTTCCCCTTTGAAATGAGGTTATTGGTATATTGGACCTCTTTTGGTCAACATATCTTAATATATTTTCAGGAGAGTGGAATGTAATTTTCAGATTTTTGATAAGATCCTGCACATTGAATAACTTCAACCTTTATTTTCATTTAATATTTTAACACAATCATACCAGTTCAGTTTGTGTAGTGATACTGGCCAGTGTTGATCCTGTAGCTCGTTCTGGGCATTCTTCATCTTTACTGTCTCTCCAGTCAAGCTGCTCAGTACCAAAATAGTAGCAGAAGTCCATGTACTCCAACCATCTTGGTGGGCAGTTCACTATGGATGCAAAATAGGTTTTGGTAGTATTGTATGGGGATTTTATAGACAACATTAGAGCCATATATGTAATCCTCCCAACCCTCAAATTAACAAGGGTTAAAGTAGTGTTAAATAAATAGCTTATAAGAAATTTAAGGACCTACAATAGAGTCCCTTATATAATTCCTCCGCTGAATAATTTTTTTGAAGAAATATATATAAGCTACCAAGACGTATAAACTGTAATTTATGACTTTCAAATAGCTGAAATGAAGAACAATCCAACATTACTTTCCCTAGTTAAACTGTTGAGTAGAAAATTTACATAGAAATCTAAAGAAATTGTATTCTTTACACAATCTCCATCAAACAAATTACCAAGGTACAGCAGTAAATCACTCACGATTGGTTCTCTGTGTGGGATATTTACAGAGAAACCTTCTATCATCATCGTGACAGTTATCATCTCCCCACTTCCCATCAGAGTAGAAAAATCCACATTGCTCCCCATTCCCATCTGGTTGCCCAGGCCTCCAACCCTCTCGCCTACAATTATAAAGGATAAAATTATCAAGAGATTTTTTGTCGAAGTCAAGTACTGACTATCAAATGGACATGCTATTTCATCTGCATGAGTTAGGATGGTGAAAGATTGGGAGATAATAAATTGAACATTTTGACAAAAACATCACCGTCTTGGAAGTTTTAGGAAATTTCTGCTAAAATATGATATATGGAAGTGCGAATTATTCATAAAATGTTAACTATACAGTTTATATATACAGGGTGTCCGGAAAGTAAAGATACAAATGCTCTAACTTCAATAGATTTACGTGTTGTGAGATGAAATTGCTACATATTGTAGAATGACATTTCAACAATACATCCTGTAACTGTCATGACATATAGTTTCAAAATGAAAAAGTTATGGTCGTTATGGTAACGGGAGTTGGGGGTATGTGGAGCAGTGTCACAATTATTTTTTATTGTCTTTTATAAATATTTTCCCTACTCAAATCATCTTGGCACTTAACCCATTTGTTCCTATAAAGCTTCAAATTATGTCCCACAACAGCATAAGGATTAGTACTCTAATGTTATTTTATCATTTAACATGACTAATATTATCCAGTATTATGTTTTCCCCGCATTATTTATATGTTTATGGTGCATCTTGACCAGAGATTCAAAGATCGGACAAAACTGCTGCTGTCCATCTCTCATATTGCTGATAACATTGGCTTCCAGTTGAGTCTCATTTGAATACTGAACTTCTTACAAATATCACTTTGAGATGCTCATTAAGGCAGAAGTCTAAAGTCTTTTTGGGTGGGGCATTGTACAAAAAGGTTTAATGTCAAGACACTCCATTTTGAGATTTGTTGGCTTTGCTTTGTGAATTGGTGTATTGTGGAGGTGGAATGACATTTCCTTATTAACCAGGGGAATTTTTATTCCAAGCACTTGTATAATTATTCTTTGATTAAACTGATGACTTAACATAGTTCTGACATGTATCAATGACACCATTATACATGAGAGAACATAATAGCAACAATAATAAAATATTGAAGAAAACAAAGCATTGATAGAAAACACAATGATGGACACTCTTTCAAATGGTTATATTTTAGCAATTTATTAGATTTTAGCGATGTTCTGGAACTGCTCCACATACCTCTCACCTCCGTAACCATGACAACCGTAACTTTAACCGGTTTAGACTATATGCGATGACAGTTGGTAGACAAATTGTTATAAGGTTCCTCTACAATCTGTAGCAATTTCGTTGGAAAAATCCTAAATCTCTTAAAATTAGAGTATTTGTATCTTTACTTTCCGGACACCCTGTACATATATCTTATCCTTGCAAACATGTGATCATACTTGCAAACAGGGAAAGTGCTTAAAATGGGATAACACTTACAGTCATGGGATAGTAATAACAACCATGGGATAATTATAGGATATCCTATGATTTTGAGGAATATCATTTTTATCTATGAGGTGATATTGATATCTGCACGAGAGAGCAAAGCGAACAAGTGCATATATCAATATCACCGAGTAGATTAAAATGATATTCTGAAAAAATCATTGGATGTTCTTATTATCTTACACTAACAAGGAGTGTACTGAATGTATAATATCATTGCAAAATGAATTTCATGCTAAATATAGTCAATTTGGCGGGAAATCAACAAGCGGAGTATATCGTCACAATATCCTCCGCATATTGGGGTTTTCGGAGTATATCATCGCGATATCCTCCGGTTATTCATTTTGCCAATAAATATCAAATTTATTTTTTAATGTTATTATACATTTACTACACTAAGTGTAGGATAATGCTTATAATCATGGGATAATACATACAACCATGGAATAACACTTACTCTACTTCAGTGTCCCATAGAGTTCCATCTATCCAGTGGAAATTTTTGTTGTTTCCCTTCATTCCAATCCAATATTCTTCCTCCTTCAACACCACCTGACTCTTTAGCCATGTCTAAATACAACACATATTCTTTATTACAAGAGGAAATATACAAATTCCCTGAGTTCATCATACGTTTCTTTGACATCTTTGATTAAGTAATAATTAAATCTGACTATTTGTAACAAAGATCATAAGACCGAACGTTTAATAACTCTTAACTTCTCCTCAAATAACTGAGCATAATAATCCATCAAAACATTGATTTTAAAACTATTGGCCGACCCACAGCCACAGGTTAGTGGCACAGTATGGCTACATTTTTGACCTGCCAAGTCGATTGCATAATATTTAATAAGTTTTCCCCTTAGGTATCACGGAAAAGAACAATAAGCCCTTGTGGTGCAAATTAAATGGTCACATAGTTTCAACAAAATAACTTATCCAAGTGCACTTACACTGTCGCTAATTACAATGAGTCAATCTTGTCGGCTAACCACGTGTGTCAACCGCGTCCGTTAGTTGCTAGTGCACCACAGGAGTTCCATTGTAAAAAAAAAGTGATGTCTTTCAAAAAAATTATGTGAGTGTAAGTGTGCTTGGATGAGCTATTTTGTTGAAAATAAATGACCATGTACAGGGTGTCACTGCAGGGCTTATAGTTCTTTTTCGTGAGCAAACTCATTAAAATATTATGCAATTCACTTGCACCGTGGGTATACAAAAATACAGCCCTAATCTTAAGGATGCCAGAGTATATATTTCCTATATGTATTTCCTGGTGTGATCACGTAAAATAAGTTGCAAAATGGAGGATATTCTTCAACCAAACATCAAATCGTATCTTTGAGCCAAATATCAAATTGTAACTCAACTTATATGTGTCAGGTGTGGAAAATATAATAATTCTGTTACCAAAGCTTCCTTGATACCATTACAGGGACAAAACACATTCTATATAACTGGATATGAACAGATGTGCAACACAATTCAAATTCAACTTTAACAATGAGGCCACATTAAACTTCAAATGAATCATAAAACACATACAAGTTCATCAATGTTGCTGATACTGGCCAGTCTGGCATGTGGATGTTTCTCTGGGCATTCATCTTCATCAGCATTTTCAAAATCATCTTCCTCGTCACTGAACAGATAGCAATTCCCTTGGTATTCCATCCAGCCAGCTACACAATCTACAATAGGAAATAATAACATACCTATGATGAAAAAGCTCTTTATGGCTATCTAGGCCCTGCTACATGTATATTACAATATAGCAAAGTTTGTCTTAGTGAACAACTCTCTCTAGTGAAAACCTGTCCCTAGTAGACACCCTTTCCCTGTACATACTCCACTGACTTCTGTATGTATAAATTACCCTCTCTGTAGTGAAAACCTACAAACACTGAACGTTTTTTCTTGGCAAAAAATGTTCAGTATACACAGGTTTTACTGTACAACAATTATTTAAGTAAATAGTATTAATAAAAAGATAAATACTATATACCAATCTATATACCATGAAACACCTTACAATTTTTTATATACATCACTATTGTCAACATTCAAAGTACATTAACAATTTATGATCCATGTACGAAAAAGTTTAAGAAATATTCACTAGTCAAAAAATGAGGCTAACTTATCTACCAATTAAAAGGAAGCATCACAGAAAAAGATCAAAGGATATTTTATGTCATGTGAGGCATGTTCAACCAATCACAGAATGAGAACCATGACAGTGAGATGATATGTGATCCAATTGTACGCCATAATAATTGACCACTTACTTTTGCGCAGATTTATCTTACAGATGAAGCCCAGGTCGTCATTATCACAGGAGTCATCATTCCATGTGCCATCAGGGTTGAAGTGGCCACACTCTTCATCATCTGCGTCAGGTTCACCTTCGCCCCAGGCTGCATCACTACATTGAAAAAGGTGAGATTATTCATGATTTACATGTGTTACCAGCGGAAATCTCTGTGTGGGACACATACTACACAATCAAGTAGACAGTGTGGAAGTGGGCATGACTAGATGCAAGAATTATGTATATGCATTGGTGTCACCAGGTATGAGGTAGGCGAGGCATTGCCTCACTAAAAGTTTCCAGAAAATATTAATTCAAACGTTTATATTAAATAACTTTTAACTTCAATTTGCCTCAACACATTTTAGACTCTGGCTACACCTCTGATATGGTTCAGGATTACTTTTTGTTGAATTTATGAATCTGGTATACCAATTTCAATACATTTCTTGAACCCTTCTTGATTTCTATTGCTGATTTTGATTGTTTTGTATCCCATTACAAAACATTACACACAAATAGGACCAGACCCATATGAATGATAAGACATTACTAGTTCTTATTCAATCTTTAACTTTTTTAATTCACATGATTCACCTACTAAGTTAAGTTAGAATGACCAGATCTGTCAACTAGTATTCAATTCTTGACATACTTTTCTGGAGATAAATAACTTCTTAACTTTGTTTTCTAAAATCTTCCCCTCCATCCATAGCCAATCATAGACAACACATCCTTGTAAGCTATGAACCATAAAGCTTATTATTGGAATCTCATGATAATATATTCTATTAAAGGAGTAACATTATACTTACGCGACAGCAGGGTCCCAAGGTGTTCCATCTACCCATTTATAGTTTCTGTTCACTCCCTTCATCCCCAACCAGAATGACTGGTCCCTTCTCCTAGTCACATTCTGTAGAAATTGCTGAAAAACAAATAAGTGTTTGATTAAAAGACAGAATGGCAGAATCTGAGATATGAGGGGGGATCTTGAAAGTAACATGTACAATTGACAATTTTTAAAAAAAATGCAAAATGAAGGATGGCCGTTCATCCTATCGAGTACAATTCTTAGCAAAGAGGAGTGGAACAGTTATATGCTATAAGGTTACTACATCATCAATCTAAACGTTGCTTTGACTGATTAAAACGTAGACTAGTCAATACTTTTGACTTAGTAATTAATTTCCAAATAAAGAATTGGAATTGGAAATAAAGAATATACGAGTTCATCCATTGTTGCTATACTAGCCAAGTCAGCTCTCGGGTCTCTCTCAGGACATTCTTCTTTTCTTGCATCTTCAAAGTCAAATCTCTCCTCACTAAAGAAGTAACAGAAATAATCGTTCTGTATCCAGCCCTCGGGGCACTGGTCAGCCTCAACTAGAGCTGTAATAAAAGCATATTACTTTTACTAGTATTTAAAACTGTAAATTATGATGAATTGACTCAATTGTTTATTTGGTAGATATCGAAAGACAGATGTCTAAACTTGCATTTTTGAGTGATTTGGCTTTGAGAGCATGCTTTGATGGAAAACTTTCTCCAAATCCAAAATTCTCTAAATCATAGATGCTACAGGTACGCCACAATGAAAACTTTATTTAATTATGAAACTTCATGAGGAATCCATCATAAATGTGAAGTTGTTCTAAAACGAGATGGCTACATTTTTGTGTCCTGTAATAAAGATTTAGGGATACAGCTAGCAATAAACAGGTTTAAAATGATAAAAATAAAACATTCTGTCACAATAGTTTTTAAATATATGTCTAGCATGCCTGCATTATATGCAGTATTATGAAATATACAATATATGATAAAATGAAATAAAACGAAAATATGATATATGATAAAACTCACCTAGGTGGGTGGCAAAGATTGCAACTAGGGAAACAAAAATAATCCTCATTCTGTTATTACAGAATTCCTTTAATGTCTTAACTAATTGTCTCTTTATGTTATACTATTACAATTCGCTATCAGCTTTGCTAGAATGCTACATCTCCAAAGTAGGTGTGTGAATCATGTCAATTACTTAAATCCACTCCATTCTCAAGAAAAATGACCCAACATTTAGATATTGAATTGTCTTGAATGAAGCTCTGTAGAAACACTTTCATATGTTGATGAGTAAATCCATTCACTGTGTTTTCTTACTGTAGAATTCCTGATGGTTGGGATTTTTCTCTAAGGGGTTGTCAACCTTGAATGTCAGTAAGGAGGGCTTCACATCATACAATGTACAGGTATGTTCAGTAAAACCTGTATATACAAACATCTCTATAATCTGAAACCTCTCAATGTGAACACTTTTTCTTGGTCCAAATTCCATTAAGTCCCAATGATTCACATCCTAAGATATCTTGAAATGTGAACACCTGCTAATCTGAACACTTTGACCAGTCCCATTGGTGTTTGAATTAGACAGATTTTGCTGTATATCAATCTTATCTCAATGTCTTAACATAAAGAGCTTTGTAAAATGTCATTTTTGAAGCCTTTTCATGTTATCATACATGGATGATTAATTCAATGCAATCACTTTTATTTTTTCAAGTAATAAATTACCAAGCAAAATACTTTAGGAAATATACCATAAACAATAACATCAATATATTTACATTTAAATGTAACTTTACATTTATATTTATAATTTGATCATATTGACAATACACTAACAATTCAAGGCTTATTTCAAGGCTAAGACACTTTATATTGTGGTAAAATTTTGCAATTTAGAGATAAGAAAATGTGTCTCCAAAAACTTGTTTAACAATGAGATGAGGAGACTTGAATGACAATTGTTATCTTTAAGGCTATTGAAATAAATTATTTTCATTTCAACTGATAATTTGTGATATCTGAGGCCATTAGAAATTAATTTAATGTAAACACAACATTATCAGCAACCTTCATCAGAATTACAAAATAATTCATATTTTGGGAAAACATGTGTTGAAGACAATAAGACACAAACCTGAAGACATTTACCTAAATAAATAAATATTTAATTACAATGGCCTCAAAATCACATTTACCACTGCCCTGCCCCTGAAATATAATGACATACACATATATATTTCTTCATAGACCTACTTTGTGAACTTACTTAAAGTTTCAATTTGACAATGTACCGGTAGATAATAACATGTAGGTTAATATAAGTGTTTACAAAATGGATGTACAATTTTTCAATAAACACAATTTTTGTTGAGCGTACTTTCAAAATAAACCCTGACAGGCCGTTATCATAAAAAAACATAAAGATCAAAAATATTTTTGAAAATTTATTGTATGCTTCAATATGTGCCACTTGAGCTGTTTTTGGTGTCAAATGAAAGTTTGAGTTCCTATCAATCCATTGGAAATACAAGGGGGGTGAAAAGTAAATCTTTCTTTTGCTAAAGAACACTGAAAAGTATGCATTGAGTCACTTTAATATATTTATTACTGTTACATTATAAATTTTGAAAACTGGGTTTGTCACACTCATGCAGCACTTCCATTACATGCGTGTTTATCCAAATCCCTCCGGTCATAAAACTTCCTGCTACATACCTCACATTCAAACCTTTTCACTTGTAGATGAACACGATTTACATGCTTTTTCAAGTCATGTCTGAATCTAAAAGTCTTACTGCATTCTGAGCATGTGATCTCGGGGATATCGCTACTATGTTTCCGAGTCATGTGAGTCTTTAAATACGCTTTATATTTAGACTTGAAGCTGCAAAGTTTACAGAAAAATGTTTCAGCAGCATTTGGGTCGATTACGTGTTTTGTTTTGTCTCTTTGTTTTTCTTCGTTGTGCACTGATTGTATATGTAAACGTAACTGACCTTTCTGGATGAATCGTTTCAAACAATGTGAACATTCATGGGTTTTCTCCCCCGTGTGTGTCTGAGTATGAAGTTTCAAGTCAGTCGTATCGAAACATTTTTTCCCACAAAATTTACATGAGTATTTACGATGGTTGTTATGGATACGGGCAATATGTCGTGTGCAGCTCCCTCTTGTGGCAAAAGTTTCCTCACAAATTTGACATTTGACTCTCGATGAGGCATTCTGGGATACCTCTGGTGTTTTTGGAGGGTTAGGATGGGCTGTGGTGGGTGTGTTCTGAGGAGGTGGGGCTTGCCATAAGCCCCAGGTAGAGGGCTGCCCTAGAATGTTCTGGAACTGTTGTTGCATGTATCCCCCAGGCAAATTCCATAATGAGGTTTGATCTTGATCCTTTGACCCCTGAGGTTGCTGGGCCAACATAGATGGCAGCTGGGGTTGCGTATGATTTTGGTTGCTCGTTGAGACATGCAGGTTGAAAGTATTTGGCACGTGTCTAGGGGAACCACGACGGGTATGGTACATCCTCTGATGCTTGTGGCTTAAACGACGTCGTTTTGGAGGAAGTCTTGTTATTGACAGCTGTTCTCCTCTTTTCACACATCTAACTACAGGGATATGATTAGCAGGAACTTTGGGAAGTTTGTTAATTTTCTGCAATTCTCGATATTTACTGAATTTTATTCCATGTTGAATCCCAACATGCATCTGGAGAGAATACATCCGAACGAACCTCTTTTCACATATGTCACATGACACAGATGATTTTGATCCTCCGGGAAGTTTCTTGGGTCTTAAAGGCCTCCTGTGTGTCTTCTCTCCACACTGGTGCACCTTCCAGATGTGTCTCAAGATATTGGAGTGACTATATACCTTACCACACATCTGGCATGTTTCTTTACGACGACTCCCCATGCTGCTTCCTTCAATGTCTTGCTTCCGTATCGTTCCTGACCGTGTGATACGAAACTTATCAGGGTTAACATCTGTGGTCTCAGCAGGTTTTGTATCTTTTGTTTCAGGGTTATTGTCACATGGTTGTTTTTCAGGAGGAACATTCTGATTGTTTTCATCAACTGATTTGAAACTTGGCTCAAGACTGAGGTAATTCTTCGTTGAGGTAGACTTTACAGATTCTACAAAATAATTGAATGTTTTTAAATTCAATGCATGTACAAGCTTTTAATCATTCTTTAGAAATAATTTGACAAGTTTCAAGGATCAATTTGGACAATGTTAAAGTTTCCTTTACCAAACACATAATGGTCTTGGTTGTATCTTCAATGGTAAAATATCTTGAAATTGCACTGGAGCATTGCAGTTTTAGAAATTGTAGCTTGTTCCTTTGATATCAGAGCAACCTTTTCACGCTCTAATATTTACAAGACGAGGTCTGTTACAAAGTTTCCAGATGGTGTAAGTTAAAAGTTATTTTGAAAAAATCAACTTTTGATTTCGGTGAAACCTATATATTCGCACACTTCCCAAATGTGAACACTTTTTGGTTTTAAGTTTTAAATTTGCCATAGACTTCCATGTTAAAAAACTTGAATTGTGAACACCTGTCAAAAGTCCTAATACTTTTGGCCAGTCCCAGTGGCCAGTGGTGTTCGGATAAGACAGGTTTTACTGAATTTTAGGTTCAGAAATAAATACTGAGCCCCTTAGAGACGTGCTTGTAGCTTATTGTTATGATTGCATATTAGCGCTATATTACCTGATACATGCAGAGGATGACTAGTTTGCATGGGTTGTGTATGTGGAAGACTGTTCCAGCATTGGGCTTCAATCTTGGATTGTTCAAGATGATCTTGATTAATATCTGGGGAGCCCTGATATATGTCTCTGTTGCGGTGTGCCTGTGAATCAAGATGATGACCCCCATAAGGCTGTACGAGTCCAAGAGCCAACTCAGCTAAAAATGGCATTTGATGCTCATGCCCCAACTTATCCACATTGTTATAGCATGGAAGAAATATCTTAAGTTTATCAAACGCTTCTTTCACTTCATTGCTTTCAACAATAATTTTCGGTATGTCTTGACGGTAGATAATGTCCAGGGCAGCTTTAAGTCCAAGTTCAGAAATGTCTAACTTATGCATGGTAAGAGTTGCTAAAACGTCCATGTTTGTGGCAAAGTAACGACTGGAAGCAGCCAGGATGACTTTATGTGCTGGGTACTCTATATCACTACCATCATCACCTGTCACGGACAAAAGGATGTCACATAATCGCCCATTGACTCTCAGAGAGTTCATTATACCCCAAAAGTTAAGGTCTCGCTCCATTCTACCTAGCTCATGAGGTGACATATCTAAACGAGGGGGTCCCTGAAGAGATGTCATCTGGAAAAATAATATCAATATATCATTACAAGCAGTGTAACATGACTCATTACACATTTTTAACAGTAAAGCCTCAGTCACATTTGCTCAACGGTGGCTGTAGCTTCACAAAATCAAAATAGAAAATCTACATTGTACTTTTTATCCCCATATTTTATGCCCATTTATCAAAATTACACTGGACTAATTCGGACTGGTGAATATCATTTGACTTCCGTTAATATCGCTTAATATTTTTAGTCAGTCATGTGTAGGATATGGACCAATCAGAGACTGAGAGAGTCAGGAATAGACTGTGTATCCTTTGTCTGAATAAATTCAGAATCTCATTCAACTAAAGTCCATTTCACTGCTTCAGTTCGTCAGTAGAACGGCAAAAATAAGAAATTGGGAGACCATTGTGCAATAATATATGGAAAAGTATATTCATAATGTACATGAATGACATTTGTATATTTCAGATTTTTTAGTTTTTTGTGCAATAAGCCTGTGTCGTCTTGTAATTTAAAGAATTTCAGCCATGTTAATCTTATTGAAAATAACATGGCAGAGAAACATCCAAATATAAGAGGCCATACAATTTATAAGCCAAACTAGAAGCAATCCAAGATATACAAATGTCATTCATGTACATTATGAATATACTTTTCCACATATTATTGCACAATGGTCTCCCAATTTCTTATTTTTGCCGTTCTACTGACGAACTGAAGCAGTGAAATGGACTCTAGAGTTGGGAATATGACAGTGACAGTTTGTTGATGATGATGATTGGTGTTAGCTCTACTATTTTTTGCATGGCCTGAGTTCGTCGCTAACATGCTAAATATAAGAGTTAGCTGACGTTTGGGAGTCTGACCATTGTTGCGTCGATGATGATGCATAAACACAGCATTTGATAGAAATTAGTGTAAATGCTTTTCCGACTTTTTCATTTTTCATCAATGTTGACTTCCAGGAAGGCGTTGTAGTTATCACGAAATAACGCATTGACCCTTGAACTTTACTTTATTGACGTGTCAACCAAGCATGTCTGGTGTGAAAATTAAAAGAATATTAAGCAATGTTCTACATCCGCCAAGCTAAGTGAAGTAGCCAATATTTAAAATTACCAATTTCAAGTGAAGTACGCATAACGTAACTGCGTGATCTACACTCCCACTATTGGTCTGAACGAAATGCTACGTAGAAATATGAGCCGTCTGCTGTATTAGTCGATTAAAATAGTAAGACCTGTTGGTGATGCTTTATAATTTAGACCAAAACATTGAAGAACAAACGAACCTGTAAATCGTGAAAACAACGAACAAATATTCGGTTTTTACATATGTTCGGTAATTTTTCGTATTGAAACTTCTGGAACTTACAAGGAAATCATTCATTTTCACGGTCCATGATTTACCTCTTGGATGTTGTGGCAAATGCTCCATGGTTGACGGAACAAAGGTGATATGGTTTCATTAAAGTGGGAATATCGATTGCCGAGTCGTATCCAATGATCCTGGGCCTATCGTAAAATGAAAGCTTTGAATATGTTGTTGCCTTTAAAAATGTATTTATTTTCCATGTATGCAACTAGAATTTGTGCACATACCTTATAATGATCGATAATGGCAAAGGAAAATCCTCTAATTCTTCGTCATAATTTCTCCTTCGACGTCCGCCATTTTTTATTAAACCGGATGTTTGTTCTCTGACGTCCGCGCAATATTTTTTCACTTTTATTTCAGATTACGCTTCGGATTCAACATTTAATGCTTTCTGATATTAATTAAGTGTTTTCTATCAGAAAGATTTCATAAAAAGACTCACACTATCAGAGATTTTATCGATTCGAGCAGCCAGAAAAATTAGTTTCAATTTCACCCGCTAGGTGTTTCGACGTCGACTTGGAAAGAATTTGAAAAATCTATGAGTGGGACTCCTTGTATGGAATTGTAGATTCTAAACGATTTGCCAGTTCTACTGGTTGATGAATATTGCCATATGCATACATTTTTATAAAATAGGAATAAGGAAGAAAATGTTGGACCAAACTTCACCCCGATAAATATATAGATGAAACAACACTTCCCCTATTGTATAAAGCACTTGTAAGGCCACACCTAGAGTATGCCAATAGCGCATGGGGACCAGGATATGCCCTCGATCAGGATATGATAGAGAAAGTACAAAGGAGAGCAACCAAACTTGTCCCTAGTTTAAAAAACTTGAGCTACGAGCAACGTATGAGAGCACTGAGGATTCCATCACTCCAGTATCGTAGAAAACGAGGGGACCTCATACAGATGTTCAAAATCGCTAAGGGACTAGACAGATTAAACATTAACGACATTGCAAAGATCTCGACCAATACAAGAACAAGAGGCCACACAACAAAACTACAGCATAGGCACAGCAGACTTAACCTACGCAAAAATTGCTTTGGGAATAGAATAGCACAAAGCTGGAATGCACTACCCCAACATATAATTGATTGTGAAACTACAAACCAGTTCAAGAGAGAGATTGACAGCTTCCCGAAGGATGAGATGTTCATGTATAGAACAATGATGACTGATGAAACACAGGGCCCACGGGGGGAGCGCTTTCTCGTTGATTAGATTGTTTCATACTAGTAATGTGAAACAAAAACACGATCTGGATTAAATAGGACTATCCTCTTTCCAGAACCATTGGTAATCAGGTAATAATAATAATCAGATAGCTCAGAAAAGGTAAAATTTCTCCATTTTTCTCTCCACAGACCTTAGAGCCGCTTTAAGATTCGGGTTCTAACCTTTAGAAGGTAAGTCAGACTCCCAAACGTCAGCTAACTCTTATATTTAGCATGTTAGCGACGAACTCAGGCCCATAGGAGACAGGTTACCTTAAAAGGAAGATAGATATCATTATCAAGGACTGAAACTGAGGCAAGTCTACCCTGGCTGAAACATTTCCAGAAAAGAGCAGACACTTTCTTTATCAGTAATAGACCCGCTAATGTAGGAGAGCTGTCAACACAACTGATTAGAAGTGCTCCAAGCAGCTCTGTTGAAACTTGATGCTGTTTTCACCTCTAACAAGATGTAGCCTACTTGTAAATAAAATACAACCATCATTGTGCGTAATTCCAGAGTGAAATATATTATAAATAAGACTGAATATATACTATGTTGTGGCACATGTCCGAGTGTGTTTCTCCTCATGTAATTTTGAAATTATTCTCTATTTTTTGAAGAAAGTGAGGGAATGCGCAAATCAGCATACACACTTTAATCAAAGGTGGTAGTTTATAGTCTGTATGAAATATCCTGCATTAAATCTCACGTATACCAGTTCTTGAAATCAATTTAGTAGACTAAGTACACTAAGATACAAAGTGTACCAAAACAAACCAGAATGAAGAACAGCTGATTTTAGTCCGGGATTTTTGTGCATTATGAATTTATTATATAAATCGTCAAAACAACTAAAGCAATTAGTAAAACTTTTTAGTGCATCAAACATCAATTTGGGTTAAAAAGTCAAATGCACCCATTATTCTAGCTATAAATTCAAATACAAAACGTTAAGATCTTGCACTGTTAGCCCATGACCTCCCAATCCCCATGCATTTATGGAGCTTTCCTTGTTCTTTTCCCTAATTCTGTCATTTTGTGTGAATGTTTACTGGCGATCGAACATGTGAAGGAAGTTACTGTGATAGAATGAGGTCTCATGTAAAACTTAACTTTAACTGCAGGCATTCTTTATTACATTTATTCAGAATCAGGGACACAAGTTATTGAGTTACAGTGCCACTATGTATAACCTCAAAATCATCCAGCGTCTATGCTGCTAGCATGCTGTAATACAATACTCTGTACTCAGAGTAGCAGGCCCTAATAGTGAATGGTAGGAGAGGAGTATCAGTTTCACGGGTAACGATGCTAGCGATGATAAGCAATCTCAGTAATGGGGCAATTAGAAGATAAGCCAATGTCTGACTTTCTGTATGGATTTCTGGTTATGATCAGCTCTGAAATAACAATTACTGCATGTCAAGCCGTCATTCAATGCTGATTTTGTAGAAAACAGATCTGTCCATCCTTCTACATGTGAGTTTTTCCCATAAAGATGCTTGATTAAGTAGAAATTCATCAAATTATACCCCTAGAATATCAAAGTTCAACTGTACATCAATCGCGTGAGGAAAAAAAACAAATCCATTCTTCACCTTCTGTCCACAAACCGTTCTTCTTCTTCTTGGAAAAGTTGTCCCTCATTTGACTAACAGCAAATGTGTATGTTTATGCAGCAATATATGTTAGTTTAGAAAATGATTAATTACAATCTTACCTGTACTTCACAGAAACATCCTAAGTATGAAAATATTTCACTAAAAATACATGCTTCCATTTTGTCACATGTTCATAATAATTTACATATTGACCATGTGATGTTGACAGGGAGTGTAAACGCACCTAGCGTACAGGAAATATGTTATGATATTTATTAAGAAATTAGGTATGGTAATCATTATTACTTATTGTATTAAGCCCCCAACCCACTTCACAAAGTTCATGAAGTACCCATTCTGATACTCATAGCATCTTTCTGTTTCACCTGAAACATGCTCTGATATTATGAGGCATATTCTGTGATCCGAGCACATCAGATGGGAAGAGTTATAACTGTCAATAAGTATGATAGTTATCATGTAATCATTTACCTTATGTCAATACATTACATAATAGGCATTGTATTTAACAGCAGATATTACCACAGGCACGTGTACACAAGTTTAATGACCCCAATTAAATGAAATATGAGCTGGGATGAAAGATCTCAAAAAACCTCAATTTTGGGCTCTCCTGGATCGCCAAATCAAGCTCATTATATCATGGCATCTCAGGGCTGAGAAGAAATGAGATGTCATGGATTATCATGATGTGAAGTACCAAGGAAAGACCAAATATTAAATAAATTAGAAAAATTTGAATTTCCAAAAAAATCAAGTGGGCGATAATAGAGCCTCTGA